TGCAAATGAATACTGTCACTAACGTAAGAATTTTAATATAAAATGATCGATAATTTCTACGCAAAAAAAAAAAAAACAAAATACTGGCAAATTGTATTCACTTAATATTTAATACTATTTAATACTATTTAATACTATTTAATACTCAAAAATGTATTACTACTTAGCAATTGTTGCATTTGTTAGCTACTTTCTGTATAAATGTTTTATTCATCCTTTATATTTGTCGCCATTAAGCAAAATTCCTGGCCCACCTGTTTATAATATACTTCTTGGACATCTTTTCTCTTTATTAAAAGACCCTTCTAAAGCCCTTTTTCACTTATCAAAACAATATGGTAGAATATTTAGATTTCATGCCTTATTTAATAAACCACATGTGTTAATTTCCGATCCACAACTCATTAAAACAATATTTATTAGTCGTGTGTATGATTTTCCGAGATACGATATTATTAATCCTACATACGAGGATTTAATTGGTGATGGCATTATACTTGCTGACGGAGATTCTCATAAACGACAAAGAAAAGTAATATCTCTTATATTTTCTTTTGTCCATATTAAGGTATTCTTTTACGACAATTAATGATCTATTAAAAAGTTAATTCGTATAATTACATATAGCAATTTTAACTTTTCTAATTTTAAGGAAATGACTCCAACATTCATTCAAGCTGGACATAATTTAAAAGCTATCTGGATGAAAGAAATTGGTAATAAGAGAGAGGAAAGAATTACGATTTCAGATACAATTGCAGATATAACATTGGATGTTATTGGCCTTGTTGGCAAGTATTAGTTTATATTCGTACTATATGCTAGGTTTTTTTTAATAACGCTCCTAATAGTAACAAATAGTAACAAATAGTAACAAATAGTAACAGTAATTATATTATTTATTGTAAATAGGATTTAACTACAAATTCAATTCTACAACTACAGAGACTGAATTAGCTAAAGCATACGATTTCGTAACTAAGCAAAATCCAACGCCTTTATACATTTATCTTTGCAGATTTTTTCCGTTTATCAGAAAATTGCCAACGGATGATAACAATAAATTTTATGATGCTGTTAACACTATCAATAATGTTTCCGAGAAATTACTTGCTGATCAAAAAAATAGTCCTGTTCAAGGAACAGATTTATTGTCATTATTGGTAAAAGCAAATTATCAATTACCCGTTAATGAACAATTAACTCATCGTGAAATAGTTAGTTCGGTAAGGATTAATTAATAATTTTATTTAAACTTTTATTTAAATTATTTGAAAGGAGTAATATATTTGTAGCCATGGCTACTATGGCTACTGTAGCCGCATCCATCAAATTTAAAAATAAGGTGTAACGTAACACAATCAGGAAAATTCCTATGGCTACAAATATATTAATCCTATGAAATAATTTAAAATATATAATTTTATTAAATTTACTTAAAATTTAAATCTAATAAATTTCAGGTTATGACATTCCTTATGGCTGGACACGATACCTCCACTGTTGTATTAGCTTGGGCATTATACTTTCTAGCAAAACATCCTGATTTTCAAGATCGTCTTCGCAAAGAACTACTTGATATATTTCCCGATCGTGATTATCATCCAACTTTTGATCAAATTGAACAATTGAAATTTTTAGATTGTACCGTTAAGGAAGTTTTAAGATTCTTTCCGCCTGGTAAAGTTCAATATCTCTTTATATTTTGGATTTTGGATCTATTAATTACCTACTTCATTCTAACTCTAATTTATATGAATTAAAGTTCCTATACTCGCTCGTGTTAATAAAAAAGATGAAATGTTTAATGGTTACTTTATTCCAAAGGTATTTTCTTAAATGATTTTACCTAGTTCAATTTATTTGATAATATTTTATATAACTTTAAAAAAAAATTTTTTTAGAATTCACCATTGATTATCTCCGTCTACGCAGTCCATCATGATCCCTCAATTTGGGGTGATGATGTTGAATATTTTAACCCATCTCGGTGGCTCAATCCGCAAATAACA